GGATTCCTAAGGCGTTAGCGCAGTGTACCAACCACATGAAAATATTCGTCGATAGTCTCCCCAGACCTTTGCTTCCGCTCCGTTAATTCTCTCAGGATTTCAAAGTCGGTGCATTGTGATGCGAACTGGTGTCTGAGCGCAAATTGTAAACTGGGCCAGTCGACCTTACCGTGGGAACGGATATACAGCCAGTACCACTCACGCGCCTCTCCGCCCAGTAGCAGATGGAAATCGCCTAATATCTCGCCCCACGAACACACGTATTGCTCTTTTAAGTACTCTAAACGGAACAAATAATCCTCGATAGACATAGAATCGCGATGACCCTGATAGTTTATGCCCCACTTTTCTATACTGATTTCCGAGCTAGTAATTTCCTTGTTGTTTTTTCTTCCAGATGCCGGACGAGCGACTTCGGAGACAGCCGCTAGAATCCCTGCATCTGCTATTGGCGGTTGGCGAGGTGGTGGTGGCTCAGCGAGGGCGCATGCATACGCATCCGAATTGGACACTGCACCGTAACTATTTCTGTTTGTATGGTTTTGATTAATATTGTTGTTCCTATGTAGTTCTCCTGATCGTCCGGAATTAAACGAATCGTTACTGGAGTTGTGTCTTGCTCTTTTGTTGGTCCGATTTCGCGACCTATTACCGAACCTTGACGATTCCATTTCTGCACCTGTCGTTCTGCTCAAACCGGGCAAGCTCTCGCGCATCTCCTTTAAGATAGTGTCTTTTACCTCAGCCACCATTTCCTAAAACCGGCGCGAACTCGTTGCGAAAATTTCGCTCGTTGGTTACATAGTTTGAGGACCCGGTTAGCGTCGCTATTGTTAGCGGACGGAGGATGGGGAAAAGTCAAGCGTCTCTTTGCATTCAAGCAACTAACTGTTTTAAGCAATACGGACTTGAAGAAGAGTAAAAATATATATAAGTGAATCTACTGTCAAACTACACTTTATTACGTACATTCCACTAACTTCCTAAAAAAAAGGATTTGTTTTATGACGATGCTTTTAGCCTGGACAACTTCTATCCGATTATGCCATCGGTGGGCTATTGTCGATGTCTGACCACCTGCTCCCCCGTTCCTATGCAGATGCCATGGAATTTTAGTGGGCTCCACCTAAACAAGTCACTGGTTTGGTAGGAGGTCACATATAGCCAGACCCAGGTTGAATGAACGGATTGTATGTAGTATACTAAATAATAATTTCCTTTTTTTGAAATATATTTATAATTGAATGAGCTGTCTGTTTATTTCCTCTGGTTCTTATTATTTCTGTCCTGGTTTTTTTCCTCAGAACATCTACTTTTCTGGCTCATTCGCGGGCGCCAATTTCAACCTGTGGCGCTGATCTCATCGCTATGTTTTAGTTTGGAGAACATATTTATTATTGTCACGTACACGTACCTGCATATCCGCCTTTTTTTTGCCATCAATGTGGTGAACCATGCTAGCTCAGCATATGCTGTTGGCCCGGTTCTTAACCCTTGGCCACATTGGTGCAAGGCGGATGTTTCAATCGTCATCTGCATTTATTGTTCCACAGGAAGCCCACCCGTCCTTGGACCGCTCGTTCCGGTCTTTGATATCCGGCGGTTCCCCTTTTTGCTATTATTCCAATCACTTCTTTTAATTAGTCTCCACCCTTCGTCATCTTCCCCTCCCTCCTATATTTATTTAACCACTCATTTATGACTCCCTTTATACGTTTCAAATTATAACACCATATTTATTATAGGACATTTATAAAAAAAAAAAAAGTTTACAGTATAAACATATATATAAAACTAGTGAGCACGCACGGCGCACAGTGGACCAAATGCTTCATCTGGCGTGCACGAGAGTATAATTCGACTTTGAGAGCACCTAGAAATGTGGAATTTGAAATGCAACAGGAAAATGAACTGAGCCACCATATCATAAAAATGTGGGCGGTATTTAACGGGGCGTGGCATTTATTGCATTTTTTTCAAAATAAAATTTAAGTAAACGATTTTTCTCATCACTCATTTTTCTTTACATAATTTTATAAAATATTATAATTAATAATATAGAAGCTCGCATACTATATTTTTTATTTATTTTTATTAAAATCCCAAAATTCAGGGAGTTATAAAAAAGATACTTCCAAAGTAAAAACTACATAAAATTATGGAATAAACAACTTTATTAAAAAACACTTTGCAATACATTGTCCATAGAGTTAGTGACTCACAAATTAAGCGTATATAGTCTCAATGCGTCTTTAGTCGCTGCTTACATCACTTATAAATAGTCCGCGACAACATTAATTTCAATTTGTTTCAAGATGGGTTCAGAAAGTAAAGACATAACACCAGCACAAAGAGTTCCGACTTTCGATATTTAAAATGATGGGATCCGATGATACTAAATATTAAATATTGAAACAGATCTTGCATGGTTTTTTCACGCGAAATCTTTCGTGTAAGAAATTCGCATACATTTCTAACATCTTTATTTTTTGACTCTAAGGTCTCTTCTGATATTATGCCAATCGGTAAAGAAAACTGTTGAGTTATATACGCCCAATGTATTAATATTTTGAGGACGCTAGACGGCATATAGTACCAGAGATAGAGTTCCACGAATTTTTTCCCAGTCTCTGATAAGTAACGGCGAAGAGCTGTAACATTTACGGCGTATCCGCAGAATATTGGTCTTTAAATAATTTGTTGTCTTTTTATTAAGACTTCACTTACTCCAGTTACACTAGACGCTAATGATTTTTGATTAAAAAAACGTCTAGCCGTATTTCCGTCATTTGCTGAACCCATTCCAGGTTTTGGGGCATCGACCAGTAAATGCATTTGGGATTTAATATTTTCTTTTACAGTCTTTTCTGGATTTTCCACTTTATCTTTTTCCCCAGCATTACGAGGCTTTCATCTTTTTATAACAAGCATGTCAAATAGAATTCCCGAACTTATACAAATTTTCATTATATGACAGTTTTCCAATATCCTCTAAGTCGTTCATTATACTCGGTGTCGTTCCACATATTCCACATGTTTGGGATGACGAGTCTGAAATTGTGCTGAATACCTTTCCATCTATCATAGTTAACAAGAAATTGTGGCTGGTATTGTCACTTGCGAAGTGAATAAATTTGGCGAAGCGAATTTGCATTGTGAGTGGCGAATGAACTTTTTCGCCGGACATGCGTCGTTGCCATTCAAACAAATTAAATTAGTTCATTCTCATTTGACGTCTCTGTCATTTATACTTCGAGTTCCTTATTTTTATACAAACTCAAATTTAAAAGCAAAAATGTTTTATAAGGTAGATTTATATTTTGAGGATAGTTATAATGTTGAACCGCGAGTTAACCTTCTTCATCAGCGGCGTTTTATTAGGGATTACTCCAATCCTATGGAGTTACCGTCCACAGTGTAAGTATCCAGTGCAGATACGTTATTCAATGAAACGCAAAATGTATTTATATATATGTATTTAAAAATTTATAACGAATTTTCGGCTAAGCAAAGACGCATTTATGTATGTGCTGGACAAAATCAAAGACAAATTTAATTGCCGTCTGTCCTCATCTGTAACGCCAATGCTAAAATTGTGTTGTGCGCTCAACCTACAGTTTCGCTCATTTTAAAAGAGGTACTGCTCATTTTGGAAAGAGAAAGAGAAGCAACATGCAAGGAGCCAATTTTTCTCCAGATGAGGAATACCCAACGTGATTTGCAGTGTTGATGGAACACATAATGCGATTTATGCACCCACCGCAAATACACACCTCTATCTAACTAGAAAAGGTTTTTTTAGCATAAATGCTATGATTGTAAGTTTCTGAGAAATGAATACAGTAACATTGATAAACAAATTGTATATTACAGGCTAGCAATCCTGACATGAATATCCGTTTTGTGGATGCTAGATATGCTGGTTCTACACATGATGCGCTCGTGTGGAACAATAGTTCATTAACGACTTATTTGGGGAATATATTTTAGGTACTTTAAAATTGTTACATCAACACAAAATTAATGTTAACACTATTTAAAAAACTACTTATTTGTAGGTGACTCCGGATACCCGCTTAGTCCTTATTTACTAACACCCTTCCGCCATGCAGAGTGGGGAACTAGGGAGTCAATTTTTAACAAGAAGCACGCAAAAGCTAGAAACGTTGTTGAACGTACGATTGGAGTTTTAAAGTGCCGCTTTCGATGTCTCCTGAGTGATCGAAAAATGCGCTACGATCCTACTAAAGCAACATCCATTATAAATATTTGTTGCGCTTTCCACAATATTTGTAAGAAATTTAGAATCAGTGATCCAGATGAAGCTGCAATTTTTATTGACACCGTTGAATCATCAGAGCCAATCAGTGAAGATGCCAATAATACATCAGGAGAGTGCCGCAGAAGGCAAATAGCTGATGCTTTGTTGTAAAATTAATTGCAGTTCGGTTTATTGAATAAGCTCAAAATCATTTACCTTAATTTTGTTCTTTTTATTTCATTTTATACTTCAGAATTCTTTATTATATACATGTTAAATTAAACCTAATTGTTTCTATGCTCTCAAACTTAATAAAAATCACAAGTTCAATTCAGTACCTTCATCAAATATTAAACTTAAAATTAATTCATCACATGCTTTTATAAATAAAAATAAAAAACACAAATTAAGTTCAGCCGTTAAAAACATATTAAACTTAAAACTAGTTCATCACATTTTTTATAAATAAAAATTAAAAAAATCACAAATTCAATCAACATAAACAAAAGATGGATATGAAACTAAAGAGTGGGAACCAAACCTGAAAATACAATCAAGTGTAATTTTGGCTGTATTTTAATGTTCTTAGTTCTAACTCCTTTAGTTTCATTTCCATANAAAATACAATCAAGTGTAATTTTGGCTGTATTTTAATGTTTTTAGTTCTAACTCCTTTAGTTTCATTTCCATCTTTTCCTTATGCTGTCTTTTCTTCTCTAAAAATTTCTTCCCTCTTCCTTTCTTCCTTTAATTTCAATAAATTTAATTCTTCCTTTTTTAAATCGTACGTCTTTCTCATATACCTCGCGATTTCTTCAAGCTTCTTCTCAATATTAGAAATCCTCTCGCAAAGTGTGTCTTACACTTCAGCCTGCTGTTCCAACGCTTTGATCCGAATGCATCCCGATCCTGAACTGTCACCCTTGGCCGTGGAGTTGATGATCGCGGTATCAAATCCGCATCTTGTGGAGCTTGTTCGCCTAGTGGCTCCTCTAAATAAATTCCGTTGCCACTCACCGCATTTTCTTCCACGTTCGTTCCAAATGAAGACCCTGCTGGGTTGACTGCTTCCTGAAGGTGGAGAAGCTCATCAACGGTTCGCTCTAGTGGTGCTTTGTTGTGTGTAAGGTTCTCCTCCTGTGACCACAGTTTCTCGTCGGTTTGTCGCAATTTTTTTTTTTGCTTCAGCTTGTAATCCAACCAAACCTAAATAGTACTCATAAGTAACTACGGTAACACAAACTAGTTCAGTTCTTACCTTATTCCACTCGCGTCTGTTACGCATTGGAGGACCAATGGCGTTAAGTTCAGTAGCAAACTTCTCCCCAAGGCCCTGCTCTGCTTTTCTTCGTTGAACCGAAGCTTCCCATTCCTCTTGCGACGTCTGGATTGTTTTCCATAATTGCAACCAGGTTTTGGAACTGCTGCGTCGTTGACCGTTTTGTTCTGGAAATTTTGTTTTGTTAAATAGAATTAAAT